TTGTTGTAGCTACTTACCCTGTAACTACATGGAATAAGGGGGGAACAAGCGCCACTTTAATTTACAGCCCACAACTGTTGTATTTACCCTGTAACTACATGGAATAAGGGGGGAACAAGCAGCACTTTAGTTTACAGCACGCAACTGTTGTATTTACACTGTAACTACATGGAATAAGGGAGGAACAAAGCACCACTTTAATTTACAGCCCACAACTGTTGTATTTACCCTGTAACTACATGGAATAAGGGGGAACAAGCACCACTCTAGTTTACAGCACGCAACTGTTGTATTTACCCTGTAACTACATGAAATAAGGGGGGAACAAGCACCACTTTAGTTTACTGCCCCCAGATGTTGTATTTACCCTGTAACTATATGGACTAAGGGGGGAACAAGCATCACTTTAGTTTACAGCACGCAACTGTTGTATATACCCTGTAACTACATGAAATAAGGGGGGAACAAGCTCCACTTTAGTATACTGCCCCCAGATGTTGTATTTACCCTGTAACTACATGGACTAAGGGGGGAACAAGCACCACTTTAGTTTACAGCACGCAACTGTTGTATGTACCCTGTAACTACATGAAATAAGGGGGGAACAAGCACCACTTTAGTTTACTGCCCCCAAATGTTGTATTTATCCTGTATCTACATGGAATAAGGGGGGAACAAGCACCACTTTAATTTACAGCCCACAACTGTTGTATTTACACTGTAATTTCATGGAATAAGGGAGGAACAAGTTGGGTTTAAACGTAGAACAAGTGTATATTGGCACAGTAATTACAGAGAAAAATATTGCACTGGTTTTAATTTAATTGCTTGACGGCCAAATTAAACTCTTTTTTTGCAATAAAACATCACAATATACATACACTGAAATACAAATGTTGTATCATGTATTTTTTCTGTGAACAGCTGGAAAGAGGTAAGCTTGTTTTAAGCTGCATTGAACCTTGATGGTATATCATGCAACGTTATTTGGTGATAGTGGTGTTGGGAAGTAGCTGGTGTGAAGTTGCTGAAATAGACGAATAAGCTTTCATAAGGTAAGCTGTCTTGTGAATTATAAATCATAGCTGAAACTCAACTCATTTCACTAGACGTCCAGTTTTGTTTTTCAGTAATCTCCATCATGTTTCCTTTAATAATAGAATGGTTAAAAATACATAGGGCTATAATAAAATACCAGTATACATTTTTTTAAAGTATATTGTCTTTCTAAATCACTCCCAAACAAAAGATCATTGTTTAGGACAGGGGTCCCCAAACTACGGCCCGCGGGCCGAATGCGGCCCACCCCCACATTTGGACCGGCCCTCTGAACAATGCCAGAGACATATTTTGAAAATGTAATTGTAAATATACGGTTTCACTTATATCATGTCTATATTTGATAATAAATATTGGCTTTCAGACTAAAATTTCCCTTAGTTATTAACGTAGCCTAATTATTTGTTAAATTCACCTACCAACAGAATGGTACGTTCAACATAACGTACCATCGCGATAAAACAGGTGATGCATGAGCCAGCTAGAAAATTCAAAGAGATAACAAAATGGCCAAATGGTTGGGAAAGAGAAAGGTTGATTCAGAATGCAGGGTATTTAACCAAAAGTGGACAAGTGATTATTTTTTTGTTCAGTGCAAAGAAGTGGCTGTTTGTCTCATCTGTCAAGAAACAGTGTCTGTGTTCAAAGAATACAAACTGCGCCGACACTATGAAACCCGCAACAGAGAAAAGTATGCTAGCTTGCAAGGCCAAATGAGAGCAGACAAA